GCGCCCACGTTTTATTGAATAGACAATATCTATTGAAAAAAAAAGAAAAAAACATAAGCCCAATGCGGGGCTCGAACCCGCGACAACCAGATTAAGAGTCTGGTGCTCTACCGACTGAGCTAACCGGGCGGCGGGAGACTAGGCTACTCAAGGCGTACACAAGACATGCGACAAATGACGCGTGAAGGACATTCTGTCTGGCACTTTCTTTGTTTTTCAGCTAGTTCTCTCCAATGACCCCCAAGTGTTGTCCTGCCAAAAACTGATTGATTTGAATACCGGTGTTCATTGGTATAGTCTGAAAAATGGTCCAATTCAACATTCGACGATACATGAGATGTATCAGGAGAGAGCGTATTTTGATGAGGATACGAATTTGGTTTTTCGACAGTTTACAATGGAAGATGATGATGAATATTTGTAAGTTTGGGCATTAAGACTTCTTAATTAATTTTATCAAATTTCATTCATCAAAATTTAAACTCGATAAAAAAATTCTACACATTTCTATCCAAAAACCACTCTTCTAGGACCACTGGAAGCCGAGATATAGCATTTTGAAGAGACGCAGACAACGAGACACTCTACTAGTCTGCGTCTCCCTCATTTTCTCACTGAAGTTTGAAAAGCCCATTAATCGGCTCCCAGATGACCTAAAACATGAAACCAAATCTAAATTATAGCTTTTTTCAGCTGCTACTCCTCTAACAACATCCTTCTTGGAACATTCCACATGCGAGTCGTCGAAAGTGACCAACATCATCAAGTCATCGAAGTCGTTCGAATTTTTGTGAAATTCAGCGCATTCGTTTTCATTTTCGCACTCGTCGCCAGCCATCTGTACCGTTAAAATAAACTTTTTACTCTACTTTTTTCTTTTTTTTTGTGTTATTTTTTGTGTCCTCGCCTCCCCCATTCCAACATTGTTCTTTCTGCTGCCGGCTGGCAAACAAAATTGTGTGAAAAAAGAAAAAGAAATTGTAGGTTGTAGGTATATGAACGTCTGCGTCTCTTTTTGGAAAGTTCTCTGACCATTTGTAAAATGTAAAATGGTGAGAAATTTGGGGTTAGAAAAGGAAGACTTGATTTTAGAGTTTCTGACAGAAAACATCTTTTTGGCCTTGTCCCTTAATCCGTTTATAAATGGACATTTTAATTAGAGACATTTTCATGAGAAAAAATTTTCTGCCTTTTTTAGCAATTTCAGTTTTCGATCTACATGATCCCCGCTAGAAAAATATTGGTCAAAATTTCAAACTTTGTTATTTTTCACTGTGTATTTTCTAGCGATCCCTCTAGAGTTCTGTTCCTTTTACACCGACTGATAAACTCCAAAACTTTTTCTTTTTTTTTCTTTAAATTTCTTCTTTCTCCTAATCAACTCCAAAATTCACATGCCGAGGTGTGGGATAAAGTTTCACATGACCAACTGATTTCTAATCTTTTCACTTTTTTCTGCTTTTGCTAATCGAGTCAAATTTCTTACACTTGGATAAACTTATATTTTTTGAAACTCAAAAAAATCTGGATCTTTGATTTTGCACTTTTTTGAAGTTGATTTTGCACTTTTCGAATATCGAAACATTTTCCAGAATTACCGTAAACACTCAAATAGAAGGCCAACCAATCCGCCAACTTTTGAACCCTCATATCTCGATTTCGGTGAAAGATATCGAAAAGTGATTAACTGCCAAAATATTTATCATAACATCAGCAATATTTTATTAGTTGCAAAACTTCGATATTTTTTACAGGAATTGAGATATATGGGCTCGGAGTTAGCGGGGTGGGTGGCTTTCTATCAGAGTGTTTACAGTATGTTTTTTTTGCTATTTTGATCATTAAACTTACAAATTGTTTTGATGATCATTTGGGAGGTGTGCACTTTTTCTTGTTCTCTGAATTTTCTTCTTTTTTTCTCTAATTCTCTGCATCACTCGCTTTTCATATGGATAGCTGTTTATTACACAGGTTCAAAATTTGAATCTCAGCTGTTTCCCAATTTTCTAAATTATTTTTTCTTCAATTCAAACAATTTAAAGGTAATGCATGTCCCTCTACTCTTCCTCCTCCTTCTCTTTGCCACGTCATCAACCACATCATGCTTCAAGATTCTGGTGAGCGTTCCGAAATTCGGTTACAGTCACATGAATACCATGGGCAAGTTGGCGGATATTCTCGTGGAGAGTGGACATGATGTGGTAGGTTAAATAGGGGAGAAAAAAGATTAGTGGAACAATTTGCAGACTTTTTTGATGCCAGTCGACGTACCGATTCCACAGAATGGAACTGAACTTGCAAAGGTCGTTTTGGTGCCGCCGAGTGAGTAGAAAAGTACCTGTTTCCCCTTTGAGCTCAATTTTTTCGCTTCCTTCAAAAGATATCAAAAAAATTTTGACTGTTAAATTTTTTATCATAATATCACCAATATATTATCAGTTGACAGATTTTTGATATCTCTAATAGAAGCCGAGATAATTGAGCTAAAATTGGGGTGGGTTTCTATAAGAGCGAAAAGATGGCTTAGAAATCAAAATTTTCTTCCAGCTGACGAAATCTCAAAAATCATGGAAGCCTCGATGAAGGATGGAGCCGTGGCGAACCTCTGGACACATTCAGCCAACTCTAAACAGGGAATCATGTGGTCAACGGATATGATTGGAATTGTTTCTTATCATAACACTAAAAGTTAGTATTCCTGTTCTGATATACCGTAAATTGACCCCAATTATCTCGATTCCTATAAGAGATATTGAAAACCTGTCAACTGATAAAATGTTTTTGATATTATGAGGAACAATTTATTAGTTGACAACTTTTTGATATCATTCGAAGGAACCGAAATAATTGAGCTCAAAGTGGAAGTATGGGGTTTTACGGTCAACACCATATACGCACACTTTGAGCTCAATTATCTCAATTCCTGTGAAGGATATAAAAAATATGTCAGCTAATAAAATAATGATCATTTTATGATCAGTAATTTATCAGTTGATAACTTTTTGATATCTTTTATAGGAAACGAGATAATTGAGCTCAAAGATAAAAACAATTTTTGCAGATATGATTTCCAACAAGGCTCTTGTTCAACAAATGAAAGATGAGAAATTCGACATTGGCATCACTGAACTTTTCGATTTCTCCGGTCTCTCATTTTTCGAAGTTATCGGCCTCAAAAACGTTATTGGAGCTCACACGACGAGTGTCTTTGAAGGAACTCTCATGGCTACAGGAGCACCGATTCTTCCTTCTTTTGTACCAGCATCTCAAACTTTCACGGATGATAGTGGATCTATTTTATCCAGACTTAATAATTTGTACATGACTTATTGGTCATACGAATTCCAAAATAAGATTCAGGGATTCGCTCAGAAAGCGTTGAATGAGCATTACGGAAAAGGGAAGGCTCCTAAGATTTGGGTAAATTCGCTAAACATAATTTATATAAGAATGATATGTTCAGGACCTGGTGAAGGACATTACTTGGTTCTTCGTGAATTCTGATCCAATCTTTGATTTTCCGAAACCCCTTCCTCTTAATATCATTGAAATCGCTGGAATTTCCGTGTCAAAGATTCATCCATTAGATAAAGAATGGGATGAAATTCTGAGTAAAAGATCCAAAAATGTGCTCGTTTCGTTTGGATCCATCGCCTCGCCGACGACGATGCCAGAAGCTGTCAAGAAGAGTATTGTGGACACTTTTGCAGCGTAAGCATCTTGTTTAGCAACTTTTGTAGGCCAGAGTTCAGATTCCCCGATGTCACATTCATCTGGAAATACGATGACACAGAATCTGGTATCACCTCTCATCTCAACAATGTACATATTGTCAAATGGATGCCTCAAAATGATTTATTGGGTGAGAATTAGAATAACACTTAGTCAGAATACTGTGGTTATCAACTTAATAAAAAAACAAAAAAACATAAGCCCAATGCGGGGCTCGAACCCGCGACAACCAGATTAAGAGTCTGGTGCTCTACCGACTGAGCTAACCGGGCGGCGAAGGACTAGGTTGTGTAACACATAGACATGGCAAGTGGAAAGGGTTGTGGCATGTCTGCGTCTCTTCACGTTGTGTAATGTCTACTGCGTGTGTGGTGAAAAGAAAAAGAGTAAAAAATAAAGAAATAAAAAGGGTTGTGAGGACTTCAGATGGTTTTAAACTGATGATTTTCAGCTGACAAACGTGTATCAATGTTCTGGACGCATGGAGGAATGGGCAGTTTGATGGAAAGTGCTCAAAAAGGAGTTCCACTAGTCGTTGTTCCAATTTTCGGAGACCAAATGAGAAATGCACAAATTGCGAAACGACACGGAGTAGCGGTTATTTACGATAAAATGGAGCTGAGCAATACGAAAAAGTTGATTGGAACACTAAAAGAAGTGCTCGAAAATCCAGAATACAAGAAGTCAGCTGACCTTTTGGCTCAGATTTTGGCTTATGAGAGAGTGTCCCCGAAACAGAAAATTGTGGACACAATAGAGTTGGCTGGAAGATTCGGACAACTTCCCAGATGGACATCATCTGGAAAACAGTTCTCACTTTTGAAATATTTCAATTTGGATCTTGTTCTTTTTGCGATTTTCTTGGTTTTTGGCATTCTAGTATCGTTTGTTTTATTGGTTAGATTGATCCTTGTGAAGCTTGGTTTCTCTGGAAATAAGGAGAAATCTGAGTGAAAATTCAAAGTGAATCTTAAATCTGAATTATGGTCCAGATTTTTCTGATTGTCTTGATAAAGAACATGTACATAAATGAAACTTTATTGATAAAATGTGTTTTAACTGTTTTATCTAACACATGTAAAGAGGGACTGGACTTAAAACTATTATTGCGCCACAATAATAACAATGTTATGCACTTCCGAAAATTATTACGAAAAATTTTTCTTTAAAAAATCTATTTCCCCGAAAAACCCCGGCGAAAAGGAACGATAATTTGAGCTCCCGCGCAGTACGAAACCTAGGCCACGGCGCTTGACAGCGATTCTTTAAGGGGCGGACAGTGGTTTTGAAATTTTTCACGTGAAAGAGCTAGAAACGGCGAAATCGGGGAGAATCACCACGGCTCGTGGCCTAGGTTTTTCATTGCGCGGGAATTCAAATCCTCGTCACTCTTCGCCAACTTTTTCAAACATTTTAACACAATTAAAATTTTTTGGTCGGAGTGGATTTTTAATTAATTATTTAGATCAAATAATTTCTCTGTCATGAAAAACGAGCATAACAAAATATCCGGTATCAAAATCAATTACTGCCTTCATACCGTCGTTAAGCTGGATACTGTAGCCACCATGAATATGCCATCCGTCTCCACTACTGAAAAAACATGATAGCAATACAGTAATCGAAAATGGATGCTTAAAAATAGTCAAAATTACTGTAAAAAACAAACTTTAAAGGAGGCCAGACACCAAAAAAAAAGTTTTCCTGATATTTTGCATAGAGAACCCCCATGAGGGGTTGAACTCATGACAGGCAGCTTAGGGGTACAGCGCTGCTACCGGCTGAGCTACGGGGGCGCGAAGGTGCCTGACGATCGATGGTCTACATAAGCGCGGCGCGATTTCGTCCCCCGAACTGTCCCCCGAAATTTTTGCTGTCTCGCCTCCTTTAAGTGATATTCTATCACATTGTCCGTTTCAAAAATTTCCATTTCCACCTCTTCCTCAAAGTTTTCAAAATCTGTAGCATTTTCCAAATTTAATTTTAGAAATGTCAATCAGTTCGAGCCACTGGCAGGCCAGTGTTCCAAAAATGATTGTACATCTGAAAGGGAGATTCTGGAATTCTTCAATGACGATATTTTTAAAATCGAAATTCATCAAGTGGCTCACCCGATTGGCCGTTCTGAAATTGGTATTCGAAAACGATACAATTTTGGAACATTTCGAGGAAGAGTTGGAATTTGTTGAAAGGGATGTAGAGGGAGAATATCGCTTCAGTTTTGTTTATTGGGTTACTTTAGTATAAAATGTTTCAATTTATTCAAGGTTACTGTATTTCTATGATGTTTTTTTTCCAGTGATGTAGAAGAAGATATTCATATCGATAATGGCTACAGTATCCTGCGAAACGACGGTGTGAAGGCAGTCATTGATTTCGATATCTGTCATTTTGTTATGATAGTTTTGCCTCGGAGAGATCTTACATTATAGAATTAATTATTTAAAGGGGAACTCCGACCAACAGTTTTTATTGCATCAAAATGTTTGACAAAGTTATACTGTCTGTACAAAAAAATCTGTTCAAGAGGGCTTACGCGAAACGCCCCTTTATGCAACAGTGTCGCACACTTTTTCGGGGATTTTTTTTCGGAATTTTCAGATGTCATTTTTCACACTTTTTCTCATTGAAATTGGATAAAATTGAGATTTTAATGTAAAATCATTCAGAAAACATTTGAAGCTTTTGAAGAGAATTTCGTTTTTCTTCTAATTATGATTACCGTAAAACCTCTAATAGAACGACACCCGGATCGTCCACTGTGAGCCTATATATCTCATTTCTTTTGAAAGATATCAAAAAGTGGTTAACTAGTAAAATGTTTA